TTAAAAGCACAAACTTTTGATTTATAATCCAGTGTGGGCATCTATTTACGAATTCAGCTTAGGGAAGGAGACTTGCGTGTTAGTCATCTTTCAAAATAAGCAGAATTTTTCTAATTCTAAACAATCATGCCCTACGTATCTGCTGATTCTTCATTCATAGTTAATTATCTTCAGTTTCTATATGTAGAACAGGAAAGAATACCAACAAAGAAAATTAATGTCTGCATGTTAAATTAAGTGACAGTGATATATAACACAGTGAAATACAGCCTTCAGATACTCCAAGTAAGCATGCTCCTATATGTGCTGTGTTCATGTGTGTTATCACAGCTTTCATGCTAAAAAATTCTTATTTACTGTAAACATGGGCTTGAAGCATCAGAATAAATGATACTTATAAAACCTGAAAACTAGTAGTGTGCTGATAGTGCCATAAAAAAGAAGGATTTTTTATTTCTGTTATTTAAAGTAGTTCATACTGTAAAACACAGAAACTAATTTTCTTCCCTCACATTTTGTAGTTTAGGTTAAAATGTCTGAAAATTTTACACATATGCGAGATAATAGTGCATGGTATATTTTGAATTTCTTTTATTTTGTAATATAGTAGTAGGTAGTATAGTATAGTGTACAGTATATTTAATTAAATATGGCTAATACCTTTCAATACATAATTATCATTTAGCCACATTTTGTATGTTATGTAAATACATGTTTTATGCAGCGTTTGTCATTCATTATCCATGATTTCATGTAACGAGAAGAGGTCTTGGAAGGTGTTACTTACAGATACAAAAGGTACTACTATGTTTAAACAGAGCATTTTTAAAATTAATGTTGATCTGAAGTTGAATTTTTAAATTCATGTCTTCCTTTTTATTATGTAATGCTATTTGGTAATTTTCTAAGATATTTTTTAATTATAGATACAGGAATTTTTTATTACTGTAATGTATTCCATGCCCTTTTGTCAAATAGATATTTCGTTATTCATTTCGCCCTTTTGTAAAATAGATATTCGTATAGATATATAATATTTCGTTTTCCTCTTTAATAAGGATATTTTGAAATTGGGAGAGCACATCTGTCAATGTGAATCTACGAAGGCTATTATACTAGTAACAGGGTGTGTGGTGCTATATATAATAATGTGCAGGAACATATCAAACATATTAAAAGTTGCCCTGCTGTTCTCATAGTAATAATTGTAAAATTTGCATTGCAGTAAGAATGGATATTAATTTTGAATCAAAATGCTATTGCCAAATGCAACAATTTCTAACAGTGAAATTCTTCCTCTCTCTCTCTCTCCTTTTTTTTTTTTTTTTTTTTGTGCTAAGAAATTAAAGAACATAAATATCAAACCCATCTTTGTATTTTTTCATGGCAGTAATTATGCTCTTCCAAAGATGATTTATTTATTTATTTATTTTTTATTTACAAAGAACAAAGAAACTGCACAAAATTTTTAACTCTTATTTATTACACTTAAGAAACTGATTGTCAGCTCCAAAATGAAACTGGTGAATTGCATGTCTGTAAGCACATAGATTGGCTGAAAAATGTTGAGACTGATTCTCTTATTCACTGACTGTGTGGACCCTGTACCAATTTTTTCTTAAATTCAGGTCTTTCGTACCAAATTACTTTTTTCATAGCATTTTATAAACAATTCATAAAATGTTATGTATCACTGTAGATATGAACTTTTTTCACTTTCTTACCTGAAGAAAAATTCTTGCCATATAACTGGCTTTTCAAAGTTCAGAATGCCTAACTATCACAGTCTGCATGTTGGGTAGTCAAAAGTTAGCAAATTATTTTGCAGGTGGTACTGGTAATGCCATAACAGCGTCATTCAGCTTAGCATTATCCTTGGTGAAAACTATTCTTTTTCATCCAAATCTAGATATTTCTTTATTGTAGCTTACAAAAATTGTTTTCAAAATGTTTATTAAGTTGAATTTCAGATTGCCTTACTTATCATTCATATATTGTAAACATTAAATATTCTGTACTTTATTTTGGATTTGCAGTAGATGATGTTGTATATCTGAAAATCTGCCTACATGGTACATTATTTGTTCCACAATTCTTTAATGCTTCAAATGATTTTTTTTTCACTGCATGAATTTCTTGTGCTGGTAAAATAGAAATTGTTTCCATTTCATTTAAAGGGGAAATTTGCTGCAAATTCATATACAACTAAACCAGCGAAAAAACTGCATAGCTAAGCTTTTAATAATGAAATAATTTCTTTATTAAATAAGTGCAAAAAGTGTCCATAGGATACTAATTCAGAAGTCAAACAACAAAAATCAGCGTTATATTTTCAAATTTTTCGCAGGCCTAGTTTCGATGGTTTTACCGAACCACCATCCTCAGCTGCAAAACCGCAAATGAACAAGATAGGAAATAATGACTAGATAAGATAAGAAAGCCTGGACAGTAATCACCAAGTGGCGCCATCTGTTGATGAAACCAGAACTAAAACATAATTTCTTTAAAGGCCGAAAGCAAAGATGGATTGGAATTAGGATCGTTAACTAGAACAGAAAGATTTTTTTGAATGTGAAATACCTCTAGAAAATCCAGTTCTCCAATGGAAGATGTTTTTTGAATAATTTTGGCAGCAGAAAAATTGAAAGTGGGATTTTTGGACCAACAATATTGAGCAACAGAAGACTTCTGTGTTTCTTTTTTCTTAACATATGCCTCAAGTTCCTTGACGCGAAATTTTAAGGCTCTCTTAATTTGGCCAATGTAAATTAAACCACACTGGCAAGGAATCGTATAAATACCCCAGGAATTCATATCCAGAATGGGGTCCTTGAGTATGGAACTCAGAATTTTATTGATGGAAGAATACACAACCCGAAAGTTAAATTTCTGCAATATATGTACAACTTTATAGCTAATTAATGAAAAGAAGAGAATGACGACAGAATTTTTATAATCTCCTAAAACAAGAGTGTGTCTTTTAGTGTGTTGAGATGAGAATTTTTTAACTGCTTGATTAAAATGTTCGGGTGAAAAGCCCCTGCAGTAGCTATTGCTTTTAATAATTTAGTTCTTCATCAAGGGGCTAGTTTGGAGGAGCAAACTTGAAGAGCATGGAAAACATAGGAATAAAATGAAGCTAACTATTGTTTAGTCGGATGACATGATTTAAAGTGTGGTGGAAGGCAAACTGATGAAGTTTACGGTAACCGTAGACTGAAGTTGGATGTGTTAACGTGTGACCAGAATGTCAAGAAACAAGAGAATATCAAGTCTCAAGTGAACTGAGTAGCAGGATCAATAGAATTCATTGTTGAAGGAACTTTCTTTAAATCATCTTTATTACCTTCAAACAGGGTAAAAGTATTGTCTACGTAGCGGAACCATGCCCGGGAAGTTTAAAGTTTCAAACAATTTTGATTCATAATAATGTATGTAGATATCAGCCAGCATGAGACTGAGGGGCCTTCCTGTGGCTAATCCATCAGTTTGCTTGTAATATTTATTTTAGAAAACAAAATGTGCCAGTGTGGTTTAATTTACATTGGCCAAACTAGAGAGCCTTAAAATTTGCGTCAAGGAACATGAGGCATATGTTAGAAAAAAGAAACACAAGTCTTCTGTTGCTCATATTGTTGGTCCGAAAAATCACTTTAAATTTTTCTGCTGCCAAAATATTCAAAAAACATCTTCTTTGGAGAATTGGATTTTCTAGAGACATTTCACATTAAAAAAATTTTTCTGTTCTAGTTAACGATCCTAATTCCATCCTCTTGCCTTCGGCCTTAAAGAAATGCTTTAGTTCTGGTTTCAATCAACAGATGGCTCCACTTGGTTATTGCTGTCCAGACTTCTTATCTTATCTAGTCATTATTTCCTATCTTGTTCCATTTGCAGTTTGCAGCTGCGGATGGTGGTTTGGTAAAACCATCGAAACTAGTCCTGCGAAAATTTTGAAAATATAACGCTTATTTTTGTTGTTTGACTTCTGAATTAGTATTTATTCGGCGTGTTATTGTGTCTTGCCCATAGGATGTTAAAATCTTTTTTTGTAGAATATTTTAACAGTTCTCCCTACCATTTAAAATAACAAAATCCTTGCCACCCAGACAGTTGCTGGTTAATGATGCTGACTGCCATTCCAAAGGGCCTGGTTTGAATCTTGAAGATGGAATGGATGTTTGTAAATGTATAGTGTCTGTGAAGCATGGGGTATATACATGGGGCACTCAAAATATTTGGTGAGCCGAAAGTACTTAGCATCCCCCAGGGTGCTGTCTTTCAGAATTGGTACGAACCTTCAGTCGTACTGTTGTCTTGTACAGGACTCGAGATTTATGCCAATGTACAGAATTGTGACAGATACAATTTTGTACACCTTGCGATGATAAAATTTGTGAAATTGTTCTGATTAGCTCAGACAAATGAGATTAGCAACAACAATACAATGCCTTACTACTGTTATGTTTAGCAGTTTATTTTAAATATGATTTTGGTTGGATATTTTGATTCTCTGGTGATAAATTTAAGCCAATTGTATTGTATAGCATAATACTATTCCAAATATTAAACTGAAGTCTAAATATGCAAATGAAATCTCACTTTTTGCGATTTTTAATATTTTTTCAATAAATTTCCTTTTAAATGAAAAAAAGTAATAATGATACTTTTATTAAGAATTAGATCTTATTCTGAAGTTTTGCAGAATCAGAACGCAAACTTTTATGCTTTTATATAATTTGTAAGCTATTGACCTATAAATTTTTAGATTTTTTCTTTTTTTCTCTTAAGAAAAGGGAGGGGGAAGGGATATATTTTCCTGTTTAGAAAGTATGCATTTTATTTTCTATTTAATGCAAGAAGTATATGTAACTCTGGTTAGTTAAATAGAATTTGTGATAAATAAAATCTGTCAAACTGTGCCAATACATTGATGATTGAAATAAAGGAAACTGATACTATTAAGAACAGTTAATCATTAAAACTACAAATCATTTCAGATACTCCTCCAACTTCTCGTCCAACTCGTCCTTCAGGAGCTTGCGCCAGAGAGGAAGCAACTTGTCAAAATGGTGAATGTATTCCTTGGGAATATGCTTGTGATGGAGATTTTGACTGTACTGACCAATCTGATGAGTTGAATTGTGGTTAGTATTTGCTAATTGGAAAACTTTATTGAAAATGCTTGAATTGCAAAAAATTGTTGTTAAATTGTTGCTTAGTAAAGAAATCATTTTGAAATATAATTAATCTTCCATGCCAATAATATTTTTATTACTCAGTGAAGAGTTTTAAAGTATTTTTAATTTTTTACCATCCTAATTAGTTATAATATTGAAAAAGTGTTAATGTGACAGTTTTACTGCTAGTGTCAAAAATTCTATAATTCATTTCATTGTACTATGTATCTATATTTCTGTATCATTATAGGTGCAGTATTTATTTTAAAGTTTTCATTTCATTAGGAGTATTTGTTGAAACTGATTATTATTTAGCTTAATTATGTTATTTAATGCTTCGAAGGAAACCCCTTGAAATGTTTGTTTTTTTTAGTTTGTAGATTTGTTATCCTTGCAGAATATATATTTTCTATTTAAAAGAAATATTTATTGCAATCCTCATGTGCAAGTAATCTAGTGAGAAGAAAAAATATGTAGTTATGTTTTGAATAATTAAGCCTTTTATTTATTAAATAAGTGCTCAATCAATGTGAAATCGATTTGTGATGAAACTAATAATGTTTCAAGTTATTTTTCTTGTTTTAAATAACTCACTGTAAACTATTTAAGTTCTGTATTTTATATTTTTGAGCGATTACTTCTTAAATTAATAGGCTTCTACTAACTATTTAGCTAAAATTGTTTCGAATATTAAACTGGCATTTACATATGAGGATCAGATTGCTGTTCTTAACATTTATATTTTTGAAACTTTAAACAAATGCAGTGTTGTATTGCATTTTTAAATTTTCAAATTGCAGTTTTTTTTAAAATTTATATTATTATACATTATTATTTTGTTAAAAACATGCACAAATTAGCCATGGTTTAGGTTGGGGGGGGAGACTAGCTTGTTAATAAATTAAGCACATAATATGACATTTAATAAAAGGTGTAAGCCCTTGATAAAATTATTAAACCATGTATTTGCATTTTCTGTATAGAGATCAAAATCATTTGTATCATGATCAAAGTTATGCATTTGCATTTTCTCTGTAGAGAGTAGTGTTTCAAGGATTCTTCTTCATTCTGTATTGTGTATTTTAAAGATATGTAGAATTATAACACGTTTTGAAATGTATTCAAGGTTCTATGGAACTGGGAGCTATTTATTATAATAACAATAGTTTTTATTTTCAGATTATCAGTTTCAGTGTCAACCTAATGAATTCCAATGTGAGAACAAGAAATGTGTGTTAAAAGTTTGGCGTTGTGATGGAGATAATGATTGCTTTGACAATAGTGATGAAAAATCTTGCAGTAAGTTTCCCTTTAATGTACAAATATCTGTGGGTCTCATGTACATTAGAAAAATCTACAAGCATTTTTTAATAATTAATCTTAAAATTAATTAGTCTTCTTTGTAAGATTTTATGAACAGTATTGCCTAATGATCTAGTTTATATTTTAGATCCATTTATAAATATTTTAAGTAATATAATAAATAATTTTATTGTTTATTTATTTTCATTTATTCTGTTGATACTATTTGATGCTCAACATCATCAGTCATCCTTTCGTGGCTATAGCAGTTATTCTCAACCACTGTGCCATGAGATTTTTGAAGTGTACCTCCAAATTTTAAGAATGCATATGATATATATATATATAACTGAAAGATTTTAGATTATACCCAAAGGGGCATTTTTTTAACATTTTGTGTGTTACCTTTATTTATTAAATATCATGTTCTTTGCACTTAAACCACATAAAGTTCAGTTCAACAGCAGTATCACAAAATATTTTTAAAATATCATATCTTTAGAATTTCCAATAGACAGGCTCGTGTGCTGGAGATAAAAATGTTATTCTTCCGTACAGTGTTGCCATTGCTCACTTTGAAATTCTTGAGTTTGTTTATCAAAAGTTCGTTAAATTTTTACAAATTGTAAAATAGGTAATAAAACAAATTCAATATTCGGGCTTCCAGGTGCCCATGTTCGGGTGGAGGAGTACATTATTCAAAATTCAATGGCTCTAGGTGTTGTTGTTTTTTCATAATGCGAGAAACATGCAATCATCCATGCACATTCTTCATTAAACTTCTTTAATGCAAGGTGATAATATTTGGTAGTAACAATTTAAAAAGTGATACACCGCTTATAGTGAACTGGGAAAAACTGCCCCTTTGCGCTAAAAATTATTTTGTATATGCTTATATGCATAGTGTGATAGTTCTCATGCAATACCCAATTTGTTTAATTTCTTTCTGATTCAGTACTTGATTTTCTACACATTAACATCATGAGATGCTACTGCAAATATCCATACATAAGCTACATCAGACTAGTATTTCAATCAGTTCTTATTTCTGAATGAAGATTTGAAAATTGACTTTCAAGTTGAGTTGAGAAAGGTCAGCCAGTTTTAACACATCTTGGGCTAGTCTCGGACTGTTATTTTAACCAAAATACAGAATGTGTAATCCCAAACACATCTGGCAAAAAACCATAACAATAAATTTGAAATATGCATGACAGTTACAGTTCTAGATTTAACCCAAACAAATCTATTCTGGCCACATCAGTGAACACTATGCATCGAGGGGGGGACTATTCAGATATTTCATGTTGCAAAATTTGCAGTTGAAGGTTTTTCTCTTGAAAAGAATGAGAATAAATTAATCCCTTATCTTCAAATCTTTGATTAAGATTGTTAAGATTTTTTAAGATTGCAATAATTCTTTATTTCCACCTCACATACCTCATATCTGATGCAATTTTATCAACTAGTCTTCCTCTTCACCTGTAGTGAGCACTTATTCACTCTTCTCTTATAATATAATATAACCGTTCTTTCATTTGCTTCACAGTTAGGGCTTAATTTCTAAAAGTAAAAGTGCCGGAGCCCTATGGAAGATCATCAGGAAAGAGGAACAATTGGTAAATCAATAAATAAAATGACTATTAAAATCATTAATAATTTAAAAATTAAATAGTTAATGGTAATCAAGTTAATTAATAACTATTTAATTGAAATGATTAATTTAATTTTAATTATTATTAAATTGATAATTGTTTAATCCATTCTAATTAATTTATTTAAATAATTAAAAATTAAAGTAATTAATTATTAAGCTTAAATAAATGTAAAGATATAAATTAAAATTTAATAAGCAATTTTTAATATAATTTTATTGCTAAAAATAAAATTTTCGAGATCAAATTTCTACTGAAATTGTTGTTCAGTTACAAAACGAAGGGCCGGAGCCTTCTTATTTAGGATTCCGGTGCGCTCCAACTAAAATTAGAATTTATTCCAAAAACTAAGAAGTACCGGAGCCGGGCTCTGGCACAATTTAAGCTGTGTTCATGGTAATGTAAAGCAATTAAGGTTTTTATAATATTCTTAGGTATTTTGTTGCTTTTTTTAGTAACATGAATATTCATATTATTAATTTATTATTCATTTTAATTAACTGATAGTGTTTGAATATAGAAATCATTGAATTTGATCATGGAAAATCAGGGGAATTAAAAACTGAATGTCATTGGAAACTGCCTTGGTAGTCTTATTTTTGTGTATCATTTGGTAAAAAAAAAAAAAAAAAAAAAAAAATGTTGTGACTAAAAGATGTTACGAATTATACAGAGCCCTTTGTTTTGAAAGAATTTAATAAGTTTTTCTATTAAGTCTATGTTTTTGCAAATCTTTATTATAAAAAAAGGGTTTATGATTGAAAGAGTGTTAGTATTAATCATATGATAATAATATTTGGGTCATTCGATATTTTATACAGCATTTTGATGGCACCTTTTGGTTCTTAACATAGCTTCATTGTTCCTTTAACTCATCAGTAGTTTAAAGAATTAGTGTCATGTATTGCTTTTCATTTATTTTTGATTTTGTAGGATATTTCACAATCACTTTGATCTTAGATCACAATCTTAGATTCCTTTATTTCATCCTTAGATGCACAATAAAGGCACTTTCCTGTGTTGCATATCATCAAGTTATTGAATATCATCAATAACTCTTCAATATAGTAAAATTTTTTAATAATGCAAAATAATTCTATTTAGCTTGGAAATACTGCTTTTTTTGTTACATTGAATAATGTGATATATGTAATATTTTCTATTTTCATACTGACAGCTCCTAATCCAGCTGGATCACCATGTCGTTATGATGAATATCGTTGTTTATCTGGAGATCAATGTATTCCCAAAGCATTTCAATGTGATGGTGAATTTGATTGTCAAGACAAATCTGATGAAATTGGCTGTGGTAAGATTATTGTAATACTAATAGTGTTATAGGGCTGTAATACTAATAGTGTTAACATAACATTGGCTTAGTTCTGTTCTATATCAGTGATGTGTTGACATACATTAAATGTTTTTTATTTGAAAGTTGTCATATGGAAGCATACTCAAGTAATTTGCAATATGAAACCTCACGTAACTGAACTTGTGAGTTAATTGTAGTAACTGAACTTCTGTCTTAGCTTAGTTAATGCAGCAAATCAATGAGTTAAAAAATATATCATCTCCAAGTACTTTATTTAATTCTTTGATAGTAAATACATTTTTTTTATGATTATGAATGATTTTGTATACTGTATGACAAAGTAGAGAACTACTCAGAAAATAACTTTCGGATATCTGCATTCATTGTTAGATTATGTTAGCTATTTGATTTATACCGATAAACTTCCTGAAGTTGTTAAGCTACACAAAATGGAAACATACTAGATTTCAGGTGATTATTAAAAACGTTTTAATGCATGCAAAGTTTCCTGTTTCATTAAGAGTGACTTTAAAATAACATTGCTAGATAAGCAGATAAATTTAATAGTAATAAAACTGTTCAAAATGCCACTCAAAGAAAAATGAAATGATGATAATCATTTTAGTTAACTAATTATTAACTTACTATCAGATTTTTGAACTAATATTTTATTCTAAATAAAAATTCTTGATATTTATTCTATTAATAATTATTTGGTAATTATTCTATTCTTCTTTGAGGTTAATTATAAAATTTCATTTATTTTAGGTGGTTTTATTTTTTTAACCATTTTACAACTAAGCAAGCTTTGAAATTTTGTATCAAGGAACCTGACACTTAGCATTCAAGAAAACTTAAACACTCTATTGCAGAGGTTCTCTACCTTTTGACTAACGCGTACTATCTAAACAAAAATTGAAAAACCTTTTGAACAAAGCTCAAATCGCATAAATTTATGAGTGTTGTAGAAAAGCCTCAATCAGGAAGTTGGATTTTTAATTTTTGAATTTAATAGTTAAAAGTACTTTGTTTCTTTGCATACCACCTATTTTTCTCTTGCATATCACCGGTTGAGAACCCCTGCTCTCTAGTATAATATTATTAGAAAATCATGTCTTCCATTTTTCCGCTGTGAAAATTATCCAAAAGTCTTCATTTGCTTAATTTTTGAAATGTATTTTGGGAATGTTTTCTGTACTTATAAAAATCTTTTTGATTAATTATCAAAATTCTAACTTCTTGTTTTACTTAACCTATTCAAGCTGGATCTTAAATTGTTTGACATTCACCTTGCCATCAACAGATGACATTATGTGCTTCATATGTTATGAATTCTTCCCCCTTTTTTTTACAAAATATTTTGAAATACTCTATTTTTGTTTTCACATGGCTTCATTCACCATGCAGTCAAGAGGAATGCTTGGTCAGATTCTTTAAAATATGTCTTATCATCTTTTATGCCTATTATGCTAATTCTTATTGTTATTTTTGCCTTTCTTCTTGTGTAATGTGTGTTTATGTGTTTGTATGTAAAATATATAATATTACTTTTAATAGCTGCACCAACTATAACACAGCCACCACCTGAAACATTAACTGTTGAAGAAGATGAAACTGTTACAATTATTTGCACTGCTGTTGGCAACCCAACACCTATAATCAGTTGGCGACTTAATTGGGGAAACATACCACCTGGACCACGTGTTTCTGTAACTAGCGAAAATGGACGTGGTACTGTAACCATACGTAATGCCAGGCAAACTGATCAAGGAGCATGGAGTTGTGAGGCCATAAATAGTAAAGACAGTGTATTGGCTATCCCAGATACTGTATTAGTGGTAAAACGTAAGCATTTTATTTTTAACTGCAATTTTAGGTTGAATGACTGTATGAATATAGTTTGTGACTTCAGTTCTGTTTTCTTTGTAGCAAAAGCTGGAGTATGTCGACCTCCTCTGTTTAATGAAAAAGCTACAGTCTCTTCTGATTGTTTGAGATGTTTCTGCTTTGGTGTAACAGAAGCTTGTTATAGTAGTAGTCTGCATCTTATCAGTGTTAGTATTTTTTTTAATGTTTGTTTAAAGTTTTTCTAATGCATTTTTTTATATTATTTATTCATCCATATATAAAATAGATTTCTATCTCTGCTTATTAGTATATGGTCATTTTTTGGAAAGATTTCTAAATATGAATGTTCTTAATATATTAGTTTTGAGAAATATATTCTTTAAATTGAAATTCTGTAAATTATTCATGGATATAGAAAATTTTTTATTACTAACAGTATAACCAAATTTTTATTAGAAGTATTGAATGTGTAATGTTGGAACTTCTGTGCTTTTAATTAAAAATTAATTCATTTTTTACTCTAAAACATGCTGCATGTTTAATTAAGTATTTTATCTTATTTATCTGTTCTCACCCTGAAATTGCTCTCTCTGGCAAAGAAGAAAATGCATGTATGAAATGACTAGGCTGTAAAAATTTTAGAACAATGTAACTTAAATTATAATTGTCTGATATTGCATTAGTTTGATTTTTATCTATATCTATCTATCTCTCTATGTATATTCGTCTATCTGTCTATAGATATAAATGTATATAACAAATTATATGTATAATTATACAGTAAAATATTCTTAAGATTAATGATTTATCTTATAATTCTCATTATATAATAAATTATTCTTAAATTTCCAATTACTCCATTTTTTAATATTTTCTTTATAGCCTTTTTTTTAGTGAAATTCATTTATGATATTCTGAACATGCTGAAGTAGTATGTTGTGGGTGTCCATTTATGTTCATCATATTTTCTGCATTCTGAATTTAAAGTGTGTTAATCACTGTTCTGTTGTATGTCCTGTATATAGAATACATTTAATTACTCACTTTTTGCATTTTAGATACCACTCCAAACTGAAATATCAATTGTTGCATTACAAAAAGATGCAAGAGGTAACTATGAAGATGTTGGCCAACGATATCCTCCAAATCAGAATGCGATTCAATATAATTCTGCCAATCGAGAATACAAAGTGGAAGGTCATGTTCGTAATGATGCACCTCTTGATGTATATTACTATTGGAGCTTACCTCCTGAATTCCTGGGAAATCAGGTATTTACATTAACCTTTTTTACTATATAAGCTAGATTAGTGTAACTTTTTTTTCACTAAACACCAATATGTATTTTATGTTCAGAGTATCACAGGAATTAAATTTCTTACCTTATTTTTTTTCTTTTCTTTTTAGATCAGCTAGAAATGTCCTAAAATATTTATGTAGACCCTAAATTGATATTACTAGTTTTAGTTATTTCTTTACCATGATTTTGACTTATCTCATATTTATATCGCTTGAAAAATATAATACCTATGTGTACATTTGCATAAATTTAACATTTTTAGAATATTTAATTGATACTATGTTTTATAGATGTTTAAAATAACTTGTTATTTACAACTATAATTAAATTTATATTTGTTTTTTTGGGGAGGAGGGTATATGTGGAACCATTGGAAAAAATCTTAAGACTATTTTAACTTAGAAAAAGCATCCTAGAGCTTTAGTCTAAAACGTAAGCATACGGACAACATTTAGTGTCATATTATAATGGTCACATATTCTGTTTGTGCATACATTTAAGTAACAGAATGTAATAAAAGTAATAAAGGGTTTGAAGTTTGAAGTTACATGAGGCTGTGAATTCAAAAATTTCATGATACATTTTTTGTTCACAGTGCTCACTGATTGTTAAATATGCATTTTGAAAAGTTATCTTTTGAAACATTATTTGCAATTATTCCATTGATGAAATTTATTTTAAAACTTTTATAAAATGAGTACATGTGAAAATAAAGATCATTCTTAAATGTTTAGCTCAACAGTTATGGAGGATATATTCGTTACATATTCAGATATTCAGCACCATTCCTTCCAAAGCCTCCCAGGATAGCAGACTTTATTATAAGAGGAAATGGAATCACGCTATACCATGTTCTGAAGCAACCTTATGGACCTCAACGTGATAACAATGTTGAAGTTCGCTTCTGGGAAGTAAGTCACCTTTATTTCTTTTTTAAATATAGTGAATTTTATGTACAACAATGTATGTTTTGCATTAATTTCATTTGATGCATAATAGAATACTTAACATGCCATTATATCAGAATCTAGAAGTTCATTTATTAATATAACTTTTCATATAGATCAATGCTAAAATATTTCAAAACAATGTAAAAAATATATTTGCCTTTTTCTTAAGCATGCAACTTATTTTTGTTGCTGATTTATTAAATTTCTATCTAAAAGATTAATTTTATCACTGACTATTTATTTAAAGCAAGATTAATTTTATTTTGCTGTCAAGGATTTTCTCTGAACTTTACTGCAGTTTTTTATTTCAACTTTTAAAGGTAACAAATATTGAAATGAAAAAATTTCAAAAATTTTTTATATTTTAAGTATAATTTGTTATTTTTTAATTAAAAGAAAGTTATTTAAATTAATATCTATTATTAGTTTTGTTTTCTAAACAGTTATTACATCTTATATTGAAGCTAATTAATATCTTCAAAATGCTATTTTATATTTAATTCTAATTCAGATGCCTTGCTTTATTTATTTATTTATTTTTATTTAACAAGAAAGTTTTTTTTTTTTTTTTTTTTTAAGTAAAGCTTCCAGTATTCTTAAATTTCACTGTTGCCATAACTGTTTTTCAAATTTTCATAAGTAAATAAAATGTACTTGTTTTTAAAGTATTTATTTAGCTATCTTTTTGAATAATAATAATAATAATAAAAAAACTTAAGTAATTAAAAAAATGAAAAATATAAAATAGAAATTTACATGTACTGGTAACTTCTCTTTAAATACAAATAATAATCAGAAAAACATTTGCAACACGGTTCTAATTATGATATCCATATGAAATTTACAAGATAGATTACGTTATGCAACCCACCTAAAGCATTTAAATATTGTGGAATAATAAAATGAATGAAATGTGATAGTAGGTACAGATGCTCTTCACCTTATGAACAAGTTACATTCCAAGTGATCATTCGTACCACCAGTTTATCTGTAAAATGCTACTAGGTTTTATACACATACCTCATAGTGATATTTGGGAGGTAACAGCTATAAATACTGTGACATAAATAATTAAAAATACTAAGAAAATAAATAATATATTTTAATGTTTTTCATTCATACCTATAATATTTTAACACATTATTACATTACATAGTTTAATACATTATGAATAATTTTAAATGAATAACTTTACTGTACAGTACATACCTTGGGTTGTTGTCTTTGAGGCATGTGTCAATAGGGCAAGAAGGAGACTAGTATATCTTTATATAGGAAGAGATGACTTGCCTTCTGAAATTTCACTGACAAGTAAAGGGGGCATTTGTAATTAGGATCAGTATGAGAGATGAAGGATGTTGCCGACAACAATACCAATTTCTGAAATGTCTTTCTTAAGAAAATAAGTGTCTAAACTAGTCTGAACAGGTTTTCTCTTTTTGCATCTTATTTAAGATGGGACACTATATAGTATCATGAACAGGTTTTCTTTTCTTTCATTGCAAGTAAGATGAAAGCAGTATATGATATCATGAACAACAGACATTACTTTAGTAAAGCCTTCAGAATTTGTGTCTTTTTTTTCAAAAAAGAGGAAAGTCTTTTTCGAACTTGTAAAAAGCTACTTCTATTAACTTTGTGTCAAACTTTTTAACTGGCTCCTCCTCTGTCTGTTCCTATATGAGATGTATCAGGTCTGTTGACTGTATCAACACTGAATTTTTGACTGATAACTATTGATTGCACCAAGCACTGCATCTTCAATGTGTTCAAATAAGGGATTTTTCTTAAGAATTGTTCTGATCACCAAACAATTCATACCATTTGAACATATAGCATTTATCATAATTGTATATGTGAAAGTTTGTAAAGTAAAAAGCAACTGTAAATATGTGTGTAGGGAAATCAAAGGGAAAAACAATGCTTTAAGAGCAGCTGCTACATGTCAAAATTAACAGAAATTTTAAATTAATTGGTGTTACTTTTGCCATTAGAAATTGATAAAAGTAAACATTTAATATGCTGTTAAATTTGTAGCATTATTACTTCAAACAAGAAAGTTCATTTTATTTTCTGTATAGGATATGTCAGAAATACTGATAACAATGCATGGTTTAGTCTTTTGTCTTTTGCGCTAGATCTGTATTATAACAGATGATATAAACTTTTAGATTATAGCTAATTAATATTGGTGAAAATTACTTGAAAAGAACTTAAATTTTTACATGGGCATTTTTTGGACCATCATTTGCAATATTGATGAGATTATTAAATATTGGTAAATTGATCCTGATTCAGACGGCAACAAATAAGCCATAGCTGTTTCTGTAGTTTTCTTCATGTATGGCATGAATATGAGTCAGTTTCCTTGTCTCTAAAAAGCATTCATTTTCTCATGCAGTTAGCTTTTGCATGCTTTACTGTAATTAATTGACTGCACAGAATGAAACACATAGTAGTCTTTCCTGAAAATATTAAATTAAAAACAGTTAGTATGTAACACACAATTAATTACTTTTATTTTTAAAAATAATAATTATGATAAAATAGCATTCTAACCAGTTAATAAAAGTGGAATTCTTTTACCAGGAAGTAATGAAAGGGAAAATTTAGTTTAAACTGCACAGCATGGAAGCTCGACTGATATTTTATTCTGAATATTTGCATAAAATAACAGAAAGAAAGAAATGTGCATAGAGTATTTGTATAAATCTGTATCAGTAAGCTCTATGATAAACTTTAGTTCTTTAGTGAATGCTTTCATAATACAGGTGTAAATTTGAAATTACTGTACTATGCAGTTGAGCATTCTTCTTTCAGATGGAAAAAGCAAAGGTTTTCTTTTTGTTTCCTTTATCATTCTCCTTTTATAATTGTTGTTTGATTTTAGAAGTAAGCTAAAATTGGAAGAATATCCATTGGTCTTTAAGAATACAGTTATGTAAAATATTTTTCATTTGAGTGAATTATACATAATTGAAAAAAAAAAAAAAAAAAAAAAAGAGTGTTTTTTTCCCCCCTTAACTCGAAAGAAGTCCTTTTTAAAAAATAAATGAAGCAATTCAAGTCAAGAAAAATTGTAGAGAAATTTTATTTGAGAAAGAAAAATTATTTTAAAAAAAGCTATCAACCTTTTTAGTCTTTTGTATAAAAATTAATAATTTTTTATGAGGGTCAGTATACTGAGAACAAATTTAGCTTTAAGTAATTGAATTAATTCATTAGATGCGAAATGGATTACAAGTTACATTTTTATTCTTTTACATACATTCAAATCATCAGATCTCAGAAAGAAAGATTTTAAATTCCAAACATGGACTCTTGATGCTTTTTCTGTCATTCGAATGTTTTGAATCCTAACCTTAGAAATCGTTCAGTATTTTAACCCAAAACTTTGGAATGATTAGTTAACTGATGCTCAGTATAGAAAAATTAACTAAAAATTAAACATGATTGCAATGGTATCTGAAACATCAGTGTGTTACTGCTGAGCTTGATGGCTCTGTGTGTTACATTATTTCAGTGTAGCATCCAGCGAAATCTCCCAGAATTTTTATGTAATCATTATACTTGTGCATAGTTGAAAATTCTGGAAGCTGTCTCAATAATTCTAAGCATAGATGACTTATTTGCTAATAAATCTAGTGGATCATGCCACAATATATAAATATTTTGTAGGCCATGTATTTAAGCTGTCTACTTACAAGATGCTGAATAACAAATAAAATATATTTCTTAACTGAGTTTGTTCATTGTGCAGAAAGAATCAAGTTTTTTAATTCATTCTAAGATATTACAGCATATTTTATCATGATATCGTGCAACATTATTGCAGTATTCTACTCTTTTATTTGTAATTCAAATATATGTTTTTAAATTGTAAATGTTTTTTTTAAATGGCATATTTAAGTACATTTTATTTTATAAATTATTATAAAACATTAAATTTCAGGGAGAATGGCACAAAAGTGAAGCTCAAGGGCGAGCTGATGTTCCTGTTGTAGATATTACAACACGACAAGATATTATGATGGTGTTACAAAACATTGAAGCATTTTATGTTCGAGCTAGTTATGATGATGAAATGATTCATTCCAGGTAATAAATAATTGACTACACTATAAATATGTACATATTAGATGTTAGAAGTATTTTTAGTTCTTTATTCCTACATTTTCCAAGACATAACATACATCATTCTTCTAAACCACGTGCCATTCATGTAGCTGCTAAAATGAAATTATGAATGAACATATATTGTGTTGATATAATTTAAAATACATTTAAGTTATAATATATACTTTTGATAATTTATGTATATTTGGAGGTAATTACTTGAAGACGTTTGTTATATCATATATTATATATCCTCTCTAGAAACATTTAATTTTTAACTGCTTTCTTGTAAATATTTTTGATATGAAATCTCTGAATGAAATCTCTTTGTGACACATCATAGGTTCTAGAGCACAAGAAGCATGATATCATAGTTTGTTTGAGAAACCAAGACAAATGAAAAGCAAGAAAAATTCACTCTTCTTGGAATATCTGGTTTTTGCGTATAAAAACTGATTTAGAATCAGTCAAGGTGGATCAATAAGTAGTAATTTTCTTCTTAACAGAAGAAGTATTGATTCTGTAAAGAATTGTTTTTAGATGTTAATTCCAGAAAGATGTTGGTAGTCAATATTCATTGCAGAAAGCAGAACGTGTATGGTGATAAATTTTTGCTGATGATAACAGTGGTTGAGTATCTGAAAGAAAGAAAAGAAAACACCTTCAGTGGCTGGACTAGGTACATGTTTTTTTGTAACAAGTGAAACATTTTTCAGAATTGATACTTGAGTAGAAAATGACCATCAGCAGAACTTACATTTGCTTGCTGAGGAATTTGTGTCATTTGGGATAGTTAAAATGGTTGTTATGAAGAAATCAAAGTATCAGAAGGTGCTGTCTACAAGGTGTATTATAGATACTGGCTGGCCATCATAAAAAAAAAAAAAAAAAATCTGATGTATACACCACATGTCTTCCTTGTATGGAATATTAAATTATACACAATTTTTCTTCATTTTATTTAAACACATTGAATTAACAGTTAATGAGTTTTGAATTGAGTCAACATATAGATCGCCATGGATAGTGCATAAGCCACAATAGAATAAATGTACTCTTTAAAGTTAGCTATATTTATTTACCATAGCGACACTTCGGCGCTAAGTTCACTTAACAGCATTACATCACATTCATTTTATAACTCAAGAGTGCACACATCTGAAGAATTACCACATTTTCTATTCAAACACTATACTAAATCTAAAACGATGTATAAAAAAATTAAACAATTAAAAAAGAAACTGTTTTTCATAGATGATTCAGAGCCACTTACCTAATGCGCATGCACTTCTAATTAATCCAGTTCTCACTTCGCGGCAAGGCAAAAATGCATAAAAATTCAAAATATTTTCATTAAAAATTGAAAGATATAGAAAAACATAAAACACCAAGTACAGTTACAATTAAAAAATTACAGTTTCTACGCAAAAACAAGTTAATAACTAAAATTTTAATTCCAGAATGAATTAAGCAAAATTTAATTTGCATTAAAATTAATTAGAAGAATACATTACTTTGCTGTTGCAAAAGAATACGTTACTTTGTAGTTTCTGTAGATTGGCAACAAATCCACTATCCTGCTAAGTTTCAATTGTAAACAAATATGGCTGCCATGCTAACAAAAATTAGGCTTAGCCGCCCTTCAAAAACTTTTAAATTTTTGATAATGCCACAGTTACTGCATGCAGGTTAACTAAAGGCATAAAAACCTTAACTGGAAGATAAGAACAACATAATTCAATAATTTTTAAAGCAAAAAATGCAAAATTTAAAACATATAAGGATAAAGAAACTGAGCCGAGTAACAGAGTGGATATACGTACATACACACATATATTTATATACTTTTGGTGTGGCTGATTGCTACCAAAATGGGAGGTGCACATCTACATGTTATAGCAGTCCTATATACAAAATTTCAATGTTCTGAGGTTACTCTTTTTTGAGTTATGTGAGGTACTTACGTACAGAGAGCACAAAAAGATCTCTTCAGAATTCATTTTAAATGTTTTAATATTTTTTTTTTGGAAAAAGAAGAGTCCTTTATTCTGCCCTTGCATACAGATGTCACACAAAAGCATCATTAAGTTGCATTCAATAGTGGTCAAAATGAATATTTTCGTTGAAATATGATACCCGAAATTTTTAACAATTACAATACTTCCTTTTTACTTCATACAAGGAAGTAAAGATAGACTGGAGTTTAAAAAACATGATGATCGTGGAAAAGCAGAGTATAATATATTTCTTTGCTCTCACTTTCAACTATTTAGTAAAATAATAAGCATAAAATGAAAACTTATGTGCTAACCTAACTCAAAAAAATTCAAGTTGCAGGCTGTTGTGAGTAATGTTATGTTGACTACTCTTTGGTGTCCAAGAACTTCTGTTGGAATACTTCAAAGAGCTTGATTTGAGCATCAATATTAGCAGTCACAAACGCAGCACTGATGAACTACATGAAACCCTAAGATAAATGATTGAGGAGGCTTTTATACAGTTTTTTGTCTTTTATGACATTACTTGTCCACATTTTGTGAACTTTGGGCATGATGTATGAACACAGAAATATTGCACCATTGAGTTTCTAACCTTGATGTTCTACTACATGACTTTCATTTGTTCAGTCTTTAAAAAAAAATGTTCTGAAAGACCAGTGATTCTATTTTAAATGCACAGGTCATGTCTCAGGGCTGTCGAGTAGGGAAAAATGACTGACTCTGACTCTGACTCATGGAATTTTAATGACTTCGACACCCTCATATATGTAATAATAAAATTCCATAGTCAAGAAAACACTTAAAATTCTAACTGTATGTTCTTTTCATTTTTAATGGCGTTGGTCTCTTATTTGAAAGTACATGGAATTAAATATACAGCCCCATAGTCAAGTTGTTTTTCCTGCTTTTTCTACACGTACAGTTATAGAATGTTCTGGAAGTATTTAAAGCGAACTGGAGTGGCTGACGAGGCTGACGTCATTTCTTGGAAGCTCCTCCTTTCCAGAGGCTGTAAAAGGACTCACAAAAGAATATCGGGGCTTTTCTTTAATGTACCAATGCAGTAAACTTCATACAAAAAGTTATTAGTAATTCTTTTTTATTTACTCTGAACATATGAATTTTGTAACTGCTATTTCTCCTGACTAATAATAAATGGATCCTGTTTTTTAAACTTATTGTCTGATAATTTAAGCTACGACTACATCTATGATTCTTCACCAAATCTATTTATTCCGGACAAGAGCTGTTACATTACATATATATATATATAGAGAGAGAGAGAGGTATGTAAACATACACACATGGGTTACAGCTTATTTCTTTAATATAAAATAAGTAATAGTTGCTACAGATGGCATAGCAAATTATTTATATTAATTAGCCTTTACTATGAAATGGAAAAACTGGCATTAGTTATTTCTAAGAAACAGTATAGCTTCGGCAAGATCTTCTTTGTTGGAGGGCCATAGCTCAGATTTGATAAACTTCAGAGCTGAGAACTTTCCACACTAACTTGAGTAGGAGGAAGAGCTGTTACTGTTAGGGCTACTTCTTTTAACTTTTCAGGATAGATTTTTATAAGTTCTAAAAGAGGTGTCTTGCAAGCACAATCATATTTCTCTATTTCTTCAAAAGCCATATAGAAATCTTGTTTGTATTTTTTTCATTTTTATATCTAAAGGCTATTGTTTATTTTCATTCGCTTTGCCTTAGCCTTTTCAATATTATCCAAAAATATTTCTCAAAATCTAATTCATCAGTGGAAAAGGATGATAGAGACTCAATTGCAATGTCTGCAGTTTGACTGCCCTGCTTCGAATTCTGTAATTGTTCTGAGAATAATTTCATTTTTAATGAAAGTTCATAGTTGACTTTCTTTGCCCTTTTAATTTGTTCGTCATCCAAGAAAATTCGGTGTTTCATTCTCCATATATTGAACTCAACAAGATCTCATTGTCTAGCAGACAAGTTTCTCTTTTCTTCATTGAAGAAATTATTCCTTCTGCAATAAACCGTCCATTTCAGAAAGAACAAACATCCCATTTTCACCTCCTGTCAATTCTTCAGATTGCAGCTTTTTGTGGCTATATACGATATAAAAAGAAGAATTTGCAATTCTGCAAGATCATTTTACAGTCTTCCTGTTAGTGAAACATTAGAGTTATCTGCATCTCCTAAAAAAGTTCTTAATTCTAAAAACCTCTTTATCATCAAATATGTACTTCCTTATCGCATTGCTTGATCAATAATTGCTCCTCTTCCTGCTAGCTTCCTAAGAATGGCATCAATTTTAGAAATTCTTGCTGCTATTGCTGCTTACCTAAATTTGCCAGTGAGATTTGTAACTAAATGAAGTAACTAAATGAATCAATTTATTCACTAATGGCAAATATCATGTCCATCCTCCTCCCTTATATTTATTAATAGGCAAATAAAATAACTATTTATTAATGTATACAGTTCATAAATAAAAATAATAACTCAGCTTGTCATTAATTTTTTTCAATTCATTTTAATTTCATTTAAAATTCAAACTGTCCAATTAAAACTGGAGTCTGAGTCAACCTGTTTTTAGTGACTCCAGCTCCGACTTCTTTTACCGCAAAATCTGCTCGACTCCACTGCCCTGTCATGTCTGCCATTTTCTAGTTTGTGAGATGCTTGTTTAAAAGCATATGACGGCTTCTAATGATATCTGATGCATTCTCACTTCATTGTATACTGCTTTCCAAAGCTTTTGATGTACTGGTTCAGTTATCTTAAATGTTATAACATGTTTCATTTAATCATGCCTTAAACATGTAAAATATTAAGTAATATCAGTAAGATAATATTAATTTCTTTAAGTAAATGTTATTTCAACCATTCTTATAAATTCCCAGTTATTTTAGATTATTTCTTTAATGTTGTTATTTAACATTTAATAATATATGCTTTATATACTGGAAATATAGGAAAAAGAAACAATATTTTTTATAATTCAATCAGTTTAAATTTTTTATGGACTTCTTATCTTAATTTATTAAATTAGCATTATTTTTTTAACACTTTATTTGTCTAAACAAAATGCTATTGAAATTTTTGAAGTTATTTGGAAAAAAAAAAAAAAAAAAGAGCTTGCATATGTAAAACACCTTTACATGTAAAAGCTGGAATGTTAAAGATGTTTTACGAGATTTTGAAAGATAATTGAATAGTTTAAATACCTTACCTTGAACTAAATATGTTTATACTAACTAAAATATAAATAATAACTTATCTTAATCTATTTTTGCAATTAGTTTCCCTATATGTTTATGTTTGTCAGAAGTAAAAGTTTTGCAGGAAGAAATGCCACCTAGGCCATTATGACAGTTTTCTCACTTTTGAAACTACTTTTCTTTTCAGTTCAGATATTTTAAAATATGAAAAAATTAACATTTAAAAAATTTGTTTTTGGTATTTATCTTCTATTATTTTTATTTGCTATTTAAGCTTGTTTCTTCTATGTCTTATAGCATTCTTAATTTCCATATGGATTCTGCATCATTAGCTGACCCTACAGCTCCTCAAGCTGTGTATGTTGAAAAATGTTCTTGCCCTCAAGGTTATACAGGAAATTCTTGTGAGGTATTTGTTTTTATTATAAAGTTCCGGTTTTATTGTATTTTTTTGAGTAACTGTTTTGTGGTTGCAGTGTGATCTTTTTTAAGAAGAGAAGGGGAAAAATATTACATTCACTTACATAAAATATTATATGAATAGTATGCATATCAACAATTAACATGTTTAAAATGTTATACGAGAGTTTATCAATAACATCCTGATGAATCCAACTTAAAATGAAAGAAGGATTTGCACTTGATTTATGGAATATAGCAACCTAGCCTGTTTTTAAGCATTCTCAGAAGACACACTACTTTGTAGCTGGACAAAGGCCATTTAATCTAAACTTACTTTATTATAAACTAGTTTAATAAAATATAAATAAATAAATAGATGTAATAAAGTTTTTAATACAGTCAAAAGTTGTTAATTCGGATACCCATAATCCGGAATGATCTATAATCCGGACCTCAAAGCTAAAAACTTTCTGCGCATGCGCTGCGTTGACGGATGCGCAAAGGCGTTTACGCATGCGCGTAAGACCTTTACGACTGCGCATATGCGTGTGGACAAGCGCAGAATACGTTTTCGCGTGCACGTTTAATGTATAATGGGCGGTATAAGCTAAAATTATCTAATTATCTATTTCAGTTAATGTTGATGATTGCGTTGTTCCTTAATCTTCGAATTGGATGCGCTTATTATTTTTTGCAGACTGTAAGAACAATTTTATAAAAGTAAACTTGAACTTTCGATTATGTCAAATAGAATTTCCGATGCTGGAGCTCCCAAATGATCTACAAAACGAAAGTATGTTTCGATGTCTGTTAAAACAAAAAGTGGAATTGCTGCAAAAATGGATAAAGACATGAAGAAGGTGACGAGAGAGGTTAGTGAAAACGAAAAAATTTCAATTGACAAGTTAGTCGGTATTCTCGGCACAGCAATTACGGGACTTGAACAGCGGAACTTTGTAACTGAACAAGAAATTATGTCTGTTTATAGAATTAAAGAGAAAGTATTATCACATAAAACGAAGCAACTTAAACAACTTACATTGAAAGAAATATTTAATAAAGTAAACAAATAAATATTAAGTTTTTTTTTTTTGTAAATTTTGATACCCTTTAGATCATAATTGTTCTTTATTTCATAAACTATGGTTTCATATTTTTAATTTTAAAATTTCTGCATGCCATCTTACGAGATTTAAACTGATGATCTATAATTCGGAAAAATCAATAATCTGGTATCGCCGAAGTCCCGACGAATCCGGATTAACGACTTTTGACTGTATCTCATTTTAATTTATTGAACGTCAGAAAAAAATAATTTTAAGTGCTGATACTCCTCCTTAATGTATGCTGTTGAAAGTATGGTGCGCCTGAAGAATTTAGTCTTAAACGTAATTGGTGAGTGGTAGGAATGGTGCAGCAACAGTGATGAATTCTACTTTCTGGTGAGATTTATGAATAATTGATAGAAAGCAGTATACGTTCATGATACATAGCAGACTTATTTTTCTAAATTTGTTTTTCCCCTTCATTTTCATATTGTATTTCTGCATAGCAGGCTGAAATATCCTTTGTTTGACTGTCAGTGCTTTGCTTGTTTATGCAGTATTTGTTGTGCAGGTATGACAATTAAATAACGAGTAAGTATTTTTTTAATTAAAAAGTGAAAAATTGCAGAACTTTCATACATTACTTAAAACACCATCTTGCAGTTAGTCCCGTGGTCTTATCACATAATGAAATAAAAGGTTTATAGAAGTTGTTATGTATTGTATGCTACAAAATTAGATGCTACATTTCTTTGGAATTCTTCATTATTATAAGGAATAAAACTTTTCTTTCGGAAGAGAAATTAATCGCAGAGAAGGAATTTAGAGAACAGATGGATGGTTGAGTAAACATGTTTACAGGACAGAAATACTTTATTCACATTGACTGGTGCAGAGGCACAATTTCCTAATTTTGGAGCTGCCTTCTTAACTGAACAATGTAAAATATAACATTAAAAGCAAATTCCTAAGTTCTTGTCATAAAGAATTGTCTACACAGTCAGGTAATAAATTACTTTTCAAAATGCAATGATTAAACTTGTTAACTTTACATAACTTTTAAAAATACAATGAGTAAAAAATCACAAATATTCTCTATATATCTTCAAACCATTTTAAAACTATGTCATAGATCTTAGACAAACTATACATAATTTATTATTAATGCTATATTAATTAGCAATATAAAGCTTCAGGCTCAAGCTTGGTTTGTTTTTTGTTAAATTTGATAACTATTTTTAAAGATGATTATGTATATATTACTTTGAATTTAAAGAACATATCATAAAAATGGACAAATAAGTAATTATTTGAGAAAATAAAGTAGATTAGGTTTTTTCCTTATTTAAATTATTTAATTTCATTATTCTTTTCAAAAGAGTGTGGTATTGACTCTACAGCTGTTTGCACATATCTAAAACCTTTTCCATTATATGTATTAAAAAATTTAAAATTTTATTCCTAGGAAAGCTGACTTAAATATTATTTATAAAAAAAGCAATCTGTGTGTATCTGTTTCATTACTTCATGTAGTAATATTCAATAGGTTTTTTTTTTTATTCATAAATGAAACTTAAATAATTTTATTCAATTCACTGAATATGCATAATATGTAGGAAGATTTTCTTGCTTTGAATTTTGTTATCTTTAAAAAGGAATTATCATAGAAATCTTGAATTTAATAATGTTCAAGGCTATTTCTTCATCTGTTATAGAATATAATCTATTATTTTAATTACAGCCACATTATTTCAATTACAGGTTGCTGGCATTATTCAAAATTCAAGTTCCTGCTTCTCCAGATCTATAATCATGTTAATGAGAGGCTATTTATGCTGCTGTTTTTTAAAAAAATATTTAAAAATAAGGTTGACTATATAATTATCAGGCACGAATGAAAAGTTCCCGTAAATGTCATTTTGCAGAATCCTCCAGTTGCATCTTTCTCTAAGTATTTTCCTTTGAGCTGCACACTTTTTTTTTTGTTATACCTATGCATTTAAATTGAGATATTTTGCTCTTATAGTAAAAGAGTATTGTATGCATTTTTTCCTAAATCACCAAGGTATTGTTGGGGATCTGAAAGCTTTTAATTATTTAGAGATCTAGTGAAAGATCTGAATTTCATAATAAGTCAAGGTGTGATTCAGGTTTTCAAAATAAATTATGCATCATCTTGCATGGCTGTATTGTTTCATTTTGTTCCAGTGCCGAATGGTGTAGAATTCATCAAGATGAAATCTAAGATATTTTCAGAGTCTTTCACAATCTTGTGAGCATAATGATATAATACTGGCAGTTTCCACATTAAGTTTATATGAATAACAGACTCTTGCACTTTACTGAGGAGTTTTAGAGGCATAAATAATTAGTGAATGGAATGAATTAGTGGATTTCATTAATAAATGGAATTCCATTAATAAATAATTAGTGGAAGGAATTAACAAACACCAGAAAGCAGATTTGCATTCTTCTCTGAAATGCTTATGTAATAGAGATTGACTGCAGAAGTTGTTAGATCCAAGTTCAAATCCAGGGCAGTATAGGGATATGGGTGATTGCAGTGCTTTTATGGCACTAAGCATCTATAAAGTTTAAAGCACTCTTAAGAAGGTGTAGGAAGAGAGAAGTATGAGATGTTTGGACTCCATTTTTGAAAATGGTGTAGCTTAGGAAGTTAGCTGTCACATACTTTGCTTAAATTAAATAATTATATTTAATCTGCATTTTTAAATTTCTCCATCTTTGTATCATTTGAAACTGGCAGAACTACGATGAGAGTCTCTTACATAAGCTTCATTAGCCTATTTAACAGTTGAAGCAGCATCATATCTATATTAATGTTTTAGAAATGTTAACATACATGTGCTCTGTCAATATTTCTGCTATTTTGAATGACCAGATCAAATCGCCTTCTTAGCATAATAACTCATTGCATTGAGCTTAAAATTCTTTCCTAGTAGTCAATCACAGCATTTTGTACTGCTATATATTTGTTATATAATCCATCAGGTCATGAATTTCCCAATTGAAAACTAAAAGTTTTCTAAACTTTGCATTCAGAATAATAAACTGGTAGAAATTCTGTTTCAGACTGCTACAAGTTTTTTCTTCTTTTCCCATTACATCAGTATAAGAATTTATTTAAATAATGTTATCTGTAGTTCTCACATAGACATCCAATTCCTGGCCCTTCAAGTATATTTCTTTGGGCAAAATTTTAAAATATCTATAGAAAAGAATTTTCATAACTGACATAGAAGAGAAGATGCATTAAACTATAATCACTCATAATTTTCTGACTTTTTGTATGTATATGTAGGTGTGTATATAGCTATTGTTGCACAAAATATATCAATATGTTTCTTCTATTATTTTTATAGGAGTGTTCAGAAGGCTACTCTAGAAGAACAACTGGCAGTGGTCTTGGAGACTGTGTGCCATCTAGAGTACCATGTAACTGCCATGGCCATTCCAGCTTGTGTGATCCATCTACTGGAGAATGTTTGGTAATAATAATAATTTTTAAAAAAATTGAGATTTTCCCTTACTTAAATTTTTTTTCCCTCTTTTCAGTGATAAAAAATTTATAAAGCCACCTCTAGAATTCAGAGGGAAATAAAATTCCAAATATGGTAGCTGCTCAGTTTTCTGATTGCTGTAATTTTTATTCCAAAGTATATACTTATGAATATATGCTGTAAAATCAATGCTTGGTAATAATGATATATATATATATATATAGTCTCAAATTACCACCAACAGGAGAAGAGGTAAAATATTTTGATTTTTCTAATTTCTTACTGAACACTTGAGCCAAAGGAGAAATTTAATTCCAAATTTATGCAGAAGCAGAATTTTAAGCAGGTTGGAAGGAAAATTAATTTCTGCTGCTTCTCCACCTCCAAATTTATGCTAAAGTGAAATCTTCAACAATATAAAGTATATAAGCATTACTGCATAAGTATTAAAAAACTTGACAAAATTTAATATTGTGATTGTGTGTTCTTTTTGTGCATTATTTGGTGTCGCTGATAAGCTTATATTTTTTAAATGTTTTTATTTACAGTAACACAACTCAACTGTACTTAACTATATTTTACATACATTGTTCACACATCTCTTATTAAGATTTTCTTTAAAAAAAGAACTAGTCAGTGTGTTCTGCTGTTTTTTTCTGCATCTCCCTGATGTCCTTGCTATCCATAAATGCCACTAGTGCCTCACGCTTCCCTGTTCAAATGGGTGCTCAACAGCCATGATTTAAAAAAAAAAAAACACTTTACCTAAAATCAACTATCGTAATTTCCGGAAGAAAGGCCGCATCAGCGTAAACGCCGCACTCGATAAAAATGACAGGAAAAAAATTTAAATTACACAGAAACGCCGCATCAACGTAAACGCTGCAATAGATTAAAATTGCGCATGACATCGTCGTGGGCCATATAGATGCAAAATCTCAACCTATGTCCTCATATATGACATATCAGTTAAAGAAAAATGCATGAAATTAAGCCATAATTCAAAAATAAATTAAAGGTAAGAAATGTTGAAAATATATTTACGTTCACGAATATACTTATATTTACCCACTAAAGAAGTCCATATTTGTAATACTCAAACTATATTATAAAAAAATGGTGCAACAACAAAACATTAAATTTGGATTACAAAAGGAAATTTTAAATTTGGATTACAAAAGGAAATTTTAAATTTTACTTACAAAAGGAATTACAGCAAACTATACATCATATGAAGCCATCAAAATCTGATTCTTCACTTTCTGAATTAAAAAGATTTAATAAATCCTGATCTAAGTCCAAGTCTTCCAGATCGTCACATTCATCCTCTTGGTTTACAGTCTCTTTATCTAAAGATATAATTTCAGCTTCTTTGAATCCTGCTATTATTGGCAATGTTTTTATGATTTCCATGCACTTCCTACCCACTTTGCAACTTCTTCATAAGATGCGCTACGAATTTTACCCCTTTTGTTATACGTATGCAATCCTTCACTCATCCGACACTCCCACCACTTTCGGACTTCAGCTTTGAAGGATTTATTACCTGACAAATCTAATGGTTGTAAGATTTTTGTCAATCACCAGGAATTATTGCTATGATCGTAGACAATTTTTGACATCTGGTTTTCACTGACTCAAGTAAATGAGCATGCATGGAATCCATTATCAATAACCCTTTTGGTTGGAAAAAAAGATCCCTTATGACACGGCCAAACTTTTTGTAACCACTCATGCATGATTGTTTCGCACATCCAGCCGTTCTCGTTTGCACAAATAATTACATCATTAGGAAAATCTCCCTTCGGAATAGTTTTCCGTTTAAAAATGATCGTCGGCTTTAGCTTGTCACTGTTTGCGGCACAAGCTAACACACATGTAAATGACGTTCTTTCATGCCCCATCGTAAGCACAGATACAGTTTTTGCACCAGTTTCATCAACAGTTCTGTTTGCAGGAGAGTCGAAAGTTAACGGCGTTTCCTCCATATTTATTATTTGTGACCAAAGAAGTTTTCTTTTGTCAATAATATTTATCACATATTTTAGAAAAGATGCCTTTTTATCCTGCCAGTCCATTGGTAATTGTTGTCCGACTGTTGTTCTAGTACGCACAGAAATATTTTTTCTTTTCATAAATCTGCTACACCAGCAAGGCCCTCCTTTTAAATCATTTATGTTCATTTGCTTTGCTATAAATTTTGCTTGTAAGCAAATTTTTACAGTCGAAATTGCCATTGCTTTTTTTTTTTTCGTTTGCTCCTTTATCCAGTTTGCAAGGTCGTCCTCTAGATTCGGCCACCTTACAGTACCACTTCTTTTGGCTCGTTTCTGTTGTGGCATATTTTTAAGTTCTTCTTTTTCAGTTCTCCAACGTCGAGTACATCTCTCGTCCACTTCAAACTCTTGAGCTGCTGCTCTATTTCCAATTTGTTCAGCACTTGGAATTACATTAAGCTTAAAACCAGCAGTATAGCTTCTGTGCCGTTTAGGTGCCATTTTCAAAAATTTTCCGCTCCCTTCTTACTTAAAAACTATTTAGCAAGTACTTGTACCCAAACTAATGGGATCTGTATCTGGCAGAATGCCAAGAAAAATTGATTCATGCTGAAGGGGAAATGCGTCAGAGTTTGTTATTGGGAGGCAGGTGGAGTCGTGTCTGCCTTCGAAAGAAAATTTCAGAAAAGGCAGGGGTGGGGAGAGGATGGGTCCTGGAAGATTCATCGAATGGAAGAGGAGAGAGACTATTTAAAATGATGAGAATGCTGATTTGAAAGGGGGAGAATGTTATTGTTCTGAGATCCTGTTTAGGGTGAATAAGGCATGTAGGTCCATTCAAGGGAAAGAATGTAAACAAAATAACGTTCGCAAAATGCAACTGAGTGGTCTTTTATGTGGGAACAACTGAGTGTGGTCTATGTACAATGACAAGGCCATCCAAACTATGTACAATGACAAAGTTATTCAAGCTATGTACAATGACAAAGTTATTCAAACTATGCACAATGACCATCAAAGGAAATATTTTATTTTTAGTGCACCTAAACGCCACAGCCGCTGAAAATTTAAGTTTTAAAAACGCAAACACCATGGCGTTTCTTCCGGAAATTACGGAAATTTTTTCAGAGTTAGTGTTGCTCTCTGCATGGACTCCAGATTCGTATATGTAAGTTCTTGCTCAGCAACTGATCGCTCAATTCTGTCTTCATCAGTTTGATCACAGACTCCAAAGGCTCACTTGGAAGCATTTATAAGATAGTAAAAGAGGTTGAAGATTTGGCGCAACACAATCAGGAGCTTCACTAATAGCTTTTCTTACTTTCTTCAAAACTTTGTTAAGTCTTTTCGGTCCACCTTGACTTTGCAAAGAGCTTTGCTTTTCATTAGGATATCCTATCAAAGGGTATTTCTGCAAATTTTGGGACATATGGTCAGTAATAGGGCAGGAAACCTAATAGATATCTTACATCTTTCTTTGTCTTGGGGGGTAGAATGTTTTTACTTCCAAGCACTTTTCAGGTTGAGGTAAATATTTGCCAGTTTTTGCCCAAACAAAACAGTATAGAAGAGGATCCTATCCTTTTCGTAAATTCTTTTGTAAAATTAAAAGTGAAATTTGTATCCTGATGTGTAAAAATTATTTTAGGTATGCCAGTTCTAAAAGTTTCACTTGAGACTCAGCAGAGCTGTATTTTTGAAGTTTAATGATAAAGTTTTGCTTAATCTAAGCTATTTAAAACACTGTACTTTAAAACGTAGTTGCAACATTCTTTAGACCAAACGGCATAACTCTGAAAGCATACTGGTCCCGATAAATTACAAAAGATGTTAAGTATTTCGATTAAAGATTCATTTTAATCTGCAAGTAACCTTTTAAGGACTCAAGCAAAGGTATAAACTTGAAGTTGCCTACTCAATCAATAAAATATGTGGTATTTTTGGAATTCAGATAATGGAAGTTTACACATAATCTTACTGTGCTGTCTTTCTTTGATGCACATACAACAAGACATCCATATTCACTTTTAAGTCTCTAGTCCACTAGTCTCAGTAAGCCTTAATGCTAACAAGTTTGTTTGTGTACTTCTTTTAAAATTTTAGGAATCTGCTAGGGGTTTTGCATCTTGGATTTTTGCATACTGGGTATCAATTTGATTTAATGTTCACCAATTTTTGCAATTTAGGGAGATGAATGGTAGTTTTCTGATAAGTAAGGCACAAATTGCTTGTTTTTGTCCAGCATGCATTTTAGAACAGCTCAAATATCCATTAAGATAGTTTTCATCTGTTAACCCTTTAACTGTGAAATTATTTTGAAGATTTAGGTACAGAAATTGTCAATTTTTTTCATTGCAAAAATCAAATGTTTGCCACACAATCAAAAAATATAAAAAATGCTGTGCACTTTGAACATAAACCTCTATCCTTTGAAACCTTCAGTAAAGTGCTGCAGGGTTGCCACGCTACCTGGAAAACCGGGAGAACCGGGAAAAGTCAGGGAATTCGAAAATTGACCAAAATATTCAGGGAAAAGTCAGGGAATTTAAGTATTTTTGTCAAAATCTGGAAAAGTCAGGGAAGTTCATACAACGATCCCGCCAAAAAAAGTGATTTTTGCGCCGACGTCGGAAGAGGTAACTTTTTTGGAGAATTATGTATCACGTGAGTGTCATTCGCGTAGCTGGCATAGAGCCAATTTTCGCAGTTCCAATATTGTCTTTTAGAAAGGCAAAGCAACTTTCCCGCAACTTTTGGTTTCCAATATTTTCGAGAATCGCATGTGCAGTGCATGAACTAAAGAAAGTACCTGTTCTCGTATAAAACAAAATGGGTTTAATCCTAGTATACGGTACCATGGAGGTTAGAATCAAAGAGTATGTATTGTAAAGAAGGAAAACCTCTCTGCAACAGACGTGGCTGTGGCTCCGTTCCATCATAGAGGGAAAACAGCTGTGCATGTCTGATATATCTGTCGCCAAAGCTCGAAACCGGTGTCGAAGTTCGAAGGCCACGTTATCAAGAGTTCATAAAATGAATATCGTTTAAAATTTCTTTAACCACTTGCGCTAAAAAGACGTGCCACGCACGTCAAGATGCTTTTGTCTCAAACCGCGAGCGACGTGAACACCACGTCGATAAGCATTTATCGCAAAAATGAAAATAACGAGGTGCACACGTAGCCTAACAACGAGATTGTTTATTTCTCGAGTTACAGCTCTGGATTGCACTTGCAGATGCGGAGCGGCGTAAATGAGACACTTTACGGCTTGTTATATTGTAGCGCACGGCACCGCAACTGTGAAGTTTAGTCTTAGCGCAAGTGGTTAAACTCTAAAGGAAAAGAAAATATTTTTTCGCACAAGTAAATTAATTCATGGATTAGTTATTTTCAAGGGAAAAAAAAAAAAAAAAAAACTACGAAAATCCGTTAAAATTATTGCGAAAAATCCAAGAAGAAACGTAATTTGATAAAACGTTTCTTCTTGGATTTTTCGCAATAATTTAAAAACGGATTTTCGTAGTTTTCTTTTTGTCAAAGAGCGTTTCTTCTTAACACGTGCTTCTCAATTTCCTGTACACATCGCGGAGAGGGAAATTCTGGCCGCCAGGTTCCGTCGCCAAATCCCTTGGCAAATTTTCCCTCCGCATTCTAGCGGCGTAGTAGCATTTTACTTGTATGGAACCTTTTCTTCTTTACATAGACGTTCTTTGGTTAGAATAATAATGGGATTTGGCGACATCTTGATGCGCAGTAAACGGGTCATTTTGGTCTTGGCGACAATTTTCAAAATCGTGCCAAAGCCTTACCGTGTACTAGAATTTTACCACAAAATCTTTTTAAACCTTTTTTTTTTTTTCTTTTTAATAAATACCTTGCCATTTTGCAGTAAAAAAAAAAAATAGTATCAGTCATCTAGGCTAGCCATGTAATATAACTATATTCGCTAAAATATCGTTGATTATTCTAATTCAATTTTTAAGTAATTATTTTTATGTTATTCATATAATTTAATGTTGCTTCTTCCCTCTAAATTTATTTATTATTAGTAAATAATATTTCCAAATTTCAGGAAATTTTCTCTGGCATAATCCTGAAATTAATTATAGCAGTACGATGACATACCATCACGAAATTTAATGCACATATTTTTTCCTTATGTATGCTGCAAAATAAATATAAAATAGCTCAATTTATTAAAATAGATTTCTTTCTTTCGTTTAGCTGCAGAATGTCTGCAAAAAAAGCCTTATTTTATTCCAGATTGGGAAGATTCTAATCTCAATCTTCAGTGGAGAAAACAACTATTATAATTATATTTGTGTTTTCAAGTGTTAAGGTGCCTTTTAAGAACATACCTCAAGCAAATTAAATTTACCTAAAATCTAACCTAACTATTTAGCATTGCGTTGTGATTTATAAGGGCCGGATTAGCCTCGTGTTGAACTGGTGATGATCATGAGTAATAATTAAATAAAACATACATTTGTTATCCAATATATATATCTTAAATTTTATTAAGTTTCTTAAGTGGAAAACTAAACAAAATTATCAAACAAAGTATACCAAGAATAATTAAGAATAAATATCCTCTGGGAGTTATTGAATAATTAAATGAATTTGCTACACAATACAAGTTAATACCATAATTAATTTACATCTTAGCACAGCCAACGTACATTACGCGGATAGACTGGAATTTTCTTGAAACACACCTGGAAAACCTGGAAAAGTCAGGGAATTTCATTCTCCTGTTTGAGCGGCAACCCTGGTGCTGTCATCTATTGAATTGTCATCTATTGAAAATAAACCTTTCACTATGTATATTCGGGCACTCCCCCCACAAAAAAAACTGAAAGGTTCCATATTTTAAATTACATCCAAGTGGGTGTTTTTTTAACGTTTTGTGTGTTACGTTTATTTATTAAATATCATGTTCTTTGCACTTAAACCATAAAATTGAGTTCAATAGCAATGTCGCAAGATAATTTTAAAATGAGCATATCTTTAGAATTTCCAATACACAGTTCCGCGCGCTGGAGATACAGAGGTTTTTTCCCTCCATAGAGTGTTGCCATTGCTCACTTTGAAATCCTTGAGTTTGTTAATCAAAAGTTCGGTAAAGTTTTACAAAATATGAAGTCGATAATAAAACAAATTGCAAATTTAAAATTTTGGCTTCCATATGCCCATATTCGCAGTAGGATTACGTTATTCAAAATTCGATGGCTCTATGTACCGTTGTTTTATCACAATGCGAGAAATATACATACATTTATGCAGATTTTTCATTATTTAATTTCTTCAAATATAATGCAGGACTCTAACATTTGTTGGCAATAGTTTGAAAAGTGAAACGGACATTTATAGTGATTCAATGCAAAATCTCAAAAAGAAAACAATAGTCCTTCAAGGACAAAGCCCCTAAATCAGGTCTGGAGTGAAACTTGGGCCTGACATTTTGGAACACCAGTGCTGTGCCCAAGATTATTTCGGGCATGACAGTTAAAAGATTACAATGGTATTTTTAATTTCACCAAAATTAACATCAGTTTCTTAAATAAACACCAGCATTGGTTGTTTGTATGTTAAACATTTTAATCTCATTAATATGGATATGTTTTATGCTATTATGTGGCATTTGCACTAAATAACTATGCTTGTTTTGTTTCTTCATGATGGTTCAAGGAGCTGTGCATCTTGCATCCATTTTATGACTATTATCAGGTGCAAAAAGAACAGCTTTATTTCAATCTTTGGTGCTTTTTCACTTCAGGCATGAAAATTTCGTCGTACTACTCAGTAAACAATGCTGCAGTCATCCAAGCTTTGGGTTGGTTTTTATAAAATAGGAGAAGCTTTTTAACATTTTAAAATGCTCTTGCACTTTGTATCAACAGAAGGAGCATTTCATGGTTTCCCATAGAGTTCACATAGATAAGTACCATAACATGATCTTTACTATATGTACTGGACACTATGCTAAAGTGGTTTTAAGCAGAGCTTTCCAAACAAGACTGGCTTCATTGTTGTATAAAAACTCAGGATCGTAAGAGTCTGCTGCAATTTTAAAATTTTCAATAAAATATTCTGCAGATTTGGAGTCTGCTGATAACTTCTCACCACTTAAATCTAATTCATAGATATCATGCCTGCACTTAAAATTTCTTAGCAGCCATTTGTTGCTTGCTTTAAAGGATGGACAACCAAGCTTCTGAGCTAAGGTCTTAACTTTTCAAAAAGAATCGGACCCAAACTTAGGCATCCCATTGAACATTGCTGCAAAAACCACTTGAAAACAATATCTTTTAAATTTTTGTTGTTGCTGAATTCATTGATTTTCTTGTAGAACTTCCATCTTTGTTTCCAAGAAGTGACATGAAGTTTAAAAGTGTAGATTTGCTCCTTTTAATGTCTGAAATTGTTGATTGTCCAACACCGTACATCTTAGCCAACTGTTTACCTGTAACTTCTTTATCTGATTGCTCTATAACTTTTAGTTATCTGCTAATGATAACAGAACACATTTTCTTTTAAAAGCCACAGTGAAGACAAAATGCACTCGCAAACAAAATAACACACCAACGTGAAAGGAGTACCATCACAGTACTTAGTAGGTCAATGACAAACTGACCGACTAGTAATCAAAACGAATAGTAACAGGTGAGCCAGGCCAACCACCTGGCAATGGATGACAATACTGTAGCCAGTAATAGAACTGTACTATTAGACAGTGACTCATCATTCAAATAATGTTTGCGATGCGCCTACACTAGCTTCGCAGAGGGCAGAATACATAGACACATCATGCACATAGACAGAATCATTATTTTGTGAATCGTGTTACTTTTCCATCTTAATTTTTTTTTTCTTAAATACTGAAAGTGATTTAGATAGTTGGAATTCAGATGATTTTAATTATACTCTATATAAATATTTCTTTGAAAATGTTAATTAATTAATGAAAAAATTAAAGTCTAAAAAACTTGTTTCATTAAAAATGTTTTGATTAAATTTAATATTTGTAGAAGGGTGATGTTTTGTTTGCATGGTTTAACTTGTTTATAATGATAATTTTAAAATAAATAATTACTTCTTTATTATGTGTATTAAATGCTGTGGAAGTTTCTTTTTTTAGTACATGTGTATTATCATTTTGCTGAACATATGCAAATATCAGTGCAAAGTTTCCTTTGTATTGATATTTGCATTTATGTAACCATTTTGTTAAATGTTCAGGTATTCATGTTAATACATACTATATATATATAGAGAGAGAGAGGGAGAGCTCTGAAGATTTCTTTTTAATAATTTAAAATTATTAAGAAGATAATTTTAAGTAGAAAGTTTTAAGAATTTAAGAAATTTCTAAAGATTTTAATGCACTACTGTTAATTTTTTCTGTATAAGTGCACTAATCTTTATTTTTAAACAATGCATCAGTGTTTGTCTTTTTATGTATAAATGCTAATATTTTCTATATACAGCAAAGGTTATTTTCCTTATATTGTACACTGCATTCTTTTCTTGTAGATCAGAATGTTTATCTTTTCTGTGTGCTGTAAATGTTAATCTTTTCTACACACTTCTATTATATATAAAACTTCTATCATATATGGAAAAATCCGAGTACATTCTCTTCAAAAGCCCATTAATACTTGTCTTTTTATGCCATGCACTAATATTTATCTTTTCTGTAGAACTGCCGTCATAACTCAGAAGGAAGGCAGTGTGAACGATGCAAAAGAGGTTATTATGGCAATGCTAGGCAAGGAACTCCTGGTGACTGTCAACCATGTCCTTGTCCTCTTATAACCACACCTAATCAGTATGTATATTTCATACAGGAAATTTAAACTCCCGTCTTTTAAACATGTCGGTCTTAGAAGAAATGTTTTATAATCTGAGTTGTATTTAAACATAAGTATCTTATATAAATAATTATTTATTATGTCTTGCACTAAAATGGTTAAATTACAAAAAATGACAAATAGGTTTTTCTAAACTAAATCCTGACAGTTTGGCCTTTTTTTTGTCGGGGGGTGGGGTATAGGAAATTTCATTTGGCTTATATATATATTGATGCTACGTAAAAATAGCATGCAAATTTTTTAAATCTTCCCCAAAAAATTATTATTTTAGACAGTTACAAGTGGAAGTATCTTTACATTTGAAATGAAGTATTTTCAATTTCTGCATTTTAATTGCTAAAAGGTATAAAATTGAAAATACTTTCAGTTCCTTTAGTCCAAGATAAATTTATATACCTTAGAATGAATACATTAAACCAAGTGACATTTTATCATTTAGTGTCTATAAAGTTGAACAATTAATATTTTGACATTGTTTGATTCCTATAGGTTTTCAAAATAACATTATTTTTTTCAAAGAATGGAATTATGGTAAAAATTCAACTATCCAGAAAGCTCAGGAAATGATGAATACGAGACATGTGAAAATTCTGGATAGCTGAGTGCATAAAAATTGCAATTCAAAGCAAAATGAATAGGAAGAATAAATTTTGGATGATTATAAAAACAGTCACTTTACTTGTTATCAGAAGTCTAAATTTTAAATTATATAACATTTTGGGGAAAAATTGCATTTCAGAAATAAAAGCTGATGTATTTTCATAGGCTTTAAAATATATAAAGCATCTTAACCAATTATAAAATCCCATCAACCATGACAGTTGACAGAGATTCCACCAAACTTCTACCATCTCTAGATAGGTGAAGAAACAGACTTTTCTTTATAAAATTAGGTAATCAGTGATGTGATGCAAGTTATGCATATAGTATTAATATTAATCATGTTTTACTCACTACCATGTGATTGTTCATTCATTTTCAAATAAAGTTGCTTATTGTACCCGTTAACAATTCTTTTCCATGTCATAATCCTGTAATTTTGAAAATACTCCTGCATGCTGTTCCATATAATGCAGGTCTCAATTTTTTATAATTTTTTTCAAATGTGAGAGAAAGATAGATAAATAGTAGGTAACTTTTTTACAAAAACTTAAATGAGTGAATTTATATAAAAGTATAGAGAAGATCTTGTGATTGTCATGTCACATTTAGCCATTATTGGCAGTAGAGCACATTATTTGATATCAGTTCTTGTTTGCCCGAAGTAGTTCGGTGTATAGGATACATATGAGGAGCATCCTGCTCCAAGGATAATTTTTTGGAATAATTCAGTGGCTACAATAATGGGATGGGGAACCACATCTTCGGAAAGAGAGTCAGTCAGTTATTTTTGCATTTTAATTTTTTATAAGCAGGTTTGCTAGTACTAGTCCTATACATGTTTTATAATGCTTTAATCAGTCTCGCATTTGTTTAAGTTTTGTTGAAAAGTTTTTTAAATATTCTGATTAGTTTATTGCTGGATGGTCAGACTTTTGCTTAATTATTTTTGGCCTGAAATGCCTAAATATATTTGTGAGAATTTTGTGTAGAGATGACTTAAGGATTCATATTACTGTGTAGATACTGATGATGAGAAAACTGAAAACTTCTTTTGGTCATGACCACTGATTTGGGGGCATAATTTTGATTTTTTAATAAAGCAAGATGCTCCCACAGTTTTGTACAGCTTACATTTTCAGAACAATCAAAAATAATTAGCAGAAACTAAGTGACACACTGCCAGCAAGAAAGTGAAGTAGCAAAAAAGGGGCTGCATAATTATAATAGTTGTTTTTACAAACTCAGTTCTTTTGTTCAGATTTTGAGATCTGCAACTGGATGAGAGCCATCTCTGAAGGTTAAAATGGCATAATGCGGAATTAGTTTTCAGATATTATACAGTTTACATTCCAGGGAAAAGGGATGTAACCAAATTAAAATGAGTAATTAAAAGGTTGATTTTTTTTTTTTAAATCTTACATATCCCCCCTCCTATACACATACTTCAGAGAGAAAAAGGCTTAGCAATAGAAAAACCTTTTTAGAAGAAATCATTAGAACATTAGCAAAACAAGGGAGATACGGTTTTTTGGGGAAAGTAAATCATAAAATTTTTCTTTCAATTTGAAATAAAACATTTTTGACTGATGAATGCAAATTTTAGATTATACTGAAGTTTTCAATCCAAATTTGAAAGTTCACCAAAAATTATTAGAAATGCTCACAGTTTTTGAAAAATCTTTACTTAAATATCGTGATATAATTTTAAATCCTTGTCTTCAAAGTCTTTTTGTAGGAACTATTATTTTCAATATAAAAACAAAAATTTTCCTTTACACATCCATGAAATTCTTTTAAAATGAAATATTTACCCATTTTAATAATCCTTATTTTCTTATTGTAAAGCAATATAAAGTGTAGAAATTAATAACATAAAAAACTAACATAATGCAATACAATAATAGAACATTTGATTAAAATTGTCAGGTCCTCACAAAGCAAATCAACATAACTACTAGCTGATTGTTGAGGGATGCTTAAATTAATCTTGATTATCCTATCTAAGGAGAAGGTGTAGTGAATAACTTAATGTTATGAAAATAAGTAAGTCTTTTGTATGTTAATCTCTAACAAGTTAATATCTTAAAATTAAATGAGATCTTAAAAACTAAAATTAAAATTAACAAAAACCATAAAAGCAGCAGTAAAAAATGAACACAAAGTTTTCTAGGAAGAAATTTGATGAAATACGAAAAACAAAATATTAGTCTCCCTTGTTTACTGCTTCAAACAGAACTTGTCAAGAGGTAAGTGCTTGAAACACTAAACTCAGTCGATTAATGAGTTCTGAATAGATGTTTGTGATCCTCTGGACAATTTGAGACTTAACACAGTCTTAAACAATTTTCCAATTTTGATAAATAAGATCAACAGAGAGTCTCAAATTAGTTCAAAACTACTCCTACGTGCATTCATTCTCTCAGAAACAAACACATGAAAAGTAATAAAAATAATAAAGATCAGATACCTAAGCACTGAACATACTAAAACATTAAGCAAAATGCACAAATTAAATAAACTAAAAAAGTAAAAGTAGAAAGGCAAAGAATACTTACTAAAACTTATCTAAATAAGTGATTGAGTATCATATGAAAAGTTTATGAGAAATAATAATTAATTTTTATAAGAATTTTAAGAAATAACAGGAATATTTATTATTTCTATTAGTTATTTTTTATATAATAGATAATAATAATTAATTTATTTCTTTAATTCTTAAAAGAGAGTTTATTTGTAAGAAATAATAATAGGGCTGTCTTAGTAGCATAAAGCTTCAACTCTCTATTCTTTAAAATTTTATACATATATTTTTAAGTAATTATTAACATAAAGTGATGTAATGATTTGTACATATGCACACTCATATTTAAGTGCCAGTTTTTGATGTTAAAAACGTTTGGGGTCTAATATTTCCATTTGCCTCTTATTACTTTTACAATATTACCACCTTTCTCCACATCACAAGTTAACTACTTGCAAATTCTGAAAGCTTTTGTTAGTTTTACTGGATTAGATCCTAAATTTATCTTTTAAAATTTAAGCATAAATTATATGTAATTATAAGAGATAAATGAGAGATGTGAAAACATTATATATATTGCTTGTGAAATGTTATTTTATTTGATGGCAATATATTTATTTAATATAATTTATAATGCAGCTACTAAATGTAATTTACACTATACCTTGTTAAAGATTTTTATAAGAATCTATACAACTGAGCAGTGAAAGATGTTTATAAAGCCATAGCTTCTAAATTTGGTTACTCAAAATTAATCAGCTGCTTAACAAGTATATAAGCTAAGTGCTAAGTGTAATAAGTGCTAAGTGAATATAAGCTAAGTGTAATTTAATAACAAGATTTATATTAAAAATATTTTATAATAAATACATTAAATTTTAAAAGCCATTACATAATACAGTTCTTTCATAAAAATTCAATTTCTTGTATGTACAGACTTAAAGCTATGATTATATTTCAGAATTTTTTTAACTTAATTTTTTATTTACATATAGAGCAAGTGTTAGGCTTTTTGGTGCTTAGTGTCTCCAAAATTTTGTCACCTTGTACAGTTGCACGAACTGTGGTGCCAGCCCGGAATATTGATATGCTTTAAGTCAGTTATTTCAAAAAAGAATGTAATTTTACTAATGGGATATAGGACAGTTATTTCAGGAAAAAAAATGGAATTTAATGATTAATTTTACTATAAAATTTTTTGTTAAATACAAGATGACCAGTTTCCGTATTTTTTTTTAAACAGCAGTATTTTATTAATACCATGTAATTGAATAAAATAAAAATGTTATGTTCTTCTCTGCATTGTCTCAGTCTGTTGGACACCAGAAGTCATTCCTTGCTATCTGAATGGTAACATTGATGTGCAAATAAGTGTTTTCTGCATGATATAATGTGTTTAGCATGTTTTTGATTCATTATCTTTAAGACTCTATAATTAAATGATGTAATGCTTGTGTTGTGATTAATGTATGTCACACATTGTGAAATAGTGTTTTTTCTTTATCATGGTATTGTGTCATATATTTACTAAAGCATTAAAAAATGAGAGGGAAGTTATTTGCAAGAGTGGATTTTGATATATTTTCTGTTTTATTATATTTTATTATGCATGGTATTCTGGTGCATCACATAATTAATGTATGACTTTTTCTTGTTAAAAATTCTTATCTTCATGAGGCAGAGTGCAAATTTTTATAAATCTAAAATTTAGTTATTTTAGTTACTTTAATAATTTAATCAGATTTGGGCAGAAGTAACTTGATATATGATAATCTGATAATTGTAACAATTATCATATACAATGGATAATCATATGGAAATATAATAATCTGA